GCAGAAGAGCATGCCACTCTGTAATACATCTTGCGTGGATTAAAAGACAAAGACAGCAGAAAAGCACAGGTATCCTTTTTGTGAAGTATTAACACAAAAGAAGCCAGATATTATTGATAAGCATGGCCATCTTCCCACTGAAATCTATGGTGGCAGTGCTATGGATATGAATAAAAATCAATGGCTCCATGTTCCTCCTGCCTGGGCAGTTATGTTGGAAACCTGTAACACGCAGAAATCTTTTATCCTCCTTTGATTCCTCTGGGACAGAAATTGTGCTTGCCTTTATATATAGTAAGACCTGCCTACTTATTTTGCTTTCCCAGCAAACAATGGTCTGCATTTTATCTCCCTTTCCCAAAGGCAGAAATGTGTGAGTAACCTCAGCTTCTATCCTAATGTACTGTGGGGCCTGCAACACTTGCAATTATTTTAAGTACTTCTTGTAGGCACATGACATTGATAGGGACTGAGACTATTAAGTGGGAAATGGCACTCAGGCTTCTATAAGAAATAAAATATACATTCTTTGAATAAACTGAAAAGTAATAATCATCAACTCTATTCTTTTCCTTCCATTTTCTTTTCACCAATACTCAGTGGAAAACAAAACACTTAACCCTGAAATAAAATTATGCTAAAATTAGCTCAATTATTTTGCTGGGTCTAAATTTTGATTCCTAGTTACAGCTATGCATGGTCATGTTTATACTCACCCTATACACCAAGTCTTTTGTAAACAGGCTCATGCAGCAAGAGTTTAGGTCTGGAGACCCAGTTATTGGTTTGCAAGGGATATCTGGAAAACTCTCAGTCCCCAGAACAATGGACATTCCCTGGGAGGGACCCAAAGGGTGCATGAATGCAGCACTACTGAGTTTAATGAAGATACAAGCTCTTCATCCCTATAGCTATAGAAGTCACTTTTCTGGTTGCATATCCCACCAAGCATGGGAATAGGTACATTTTAACCACCAAAATACTAGGTATGATCAGCATCTTCCTCTACATTAAGGGTGCCTAACCCACAGCGCAGAGGCCAAAAGTGGCAGAGGCATCCTCTGCATGCGAAACACAGCAGACTGGGGAGGCAGGCAGGCAGATACGGCAGAAAGCAGAAACAGAGCATCAGATCAAGCAGGGAGCACAAGGCACGAAACAAAACAGAGCAGCAGATTGTTCAGGGGAAAGGGATTGGAGTGGCCCTTGGGGAGGGTGCGAGGCCTAATTGAGGCACCCCAGCCAAGAAAGTTTTCCCCCACTACTCTAGATGATAGGCAAATATTTCACAAGAAGCAGGCTGAGGTAATTGTGGCTCGACCCAAACGCTTCCCTTGCAGTCTCCCTGCTTCGTCTGACAATAGACAGTGGTGGATTCATCAGCCAAAAAAAAAATGGTGACTGCAGCGGTGGGGTTGTGGGGGCTTCATTCTGGCACCCCACTCACAGCATGCCATCAATCTCCTCGTGGCTGATCGCAGTTGCAGGCCAGATCAAACCTTTGCAGGCTGGATCTGGCCCGTAAGCTGTAGGTTGCCAACCCCTGATCTAGGCAGTAGGAGTATACTACAGGTTTTAAATCTAAGTTGTACAGCTAGAGGAAAGGCCCTTGGAAACAGAGCTCAAAGAACACAACTTTTCAATATAGGAAACGAATCCCAATTGCCACAGCCTCAGGGTCACTTGTACCTGCTCTACAGGGGGATAAACATCTAGAAACCAGAAACATCTGGAAGCCTTCCTCACACAGAGGTTCTATATTCATGAAACAGATTTACAAAAGATGGCAAAAATTGCTTCCATTTATTTCATAGATTTCATAGACATCAGGGCTGGAAGGGACCTCGGAAGATCATCGAGTCCAGCCCCCTGCCCAAAGGGCAGCAAGTCAGCTGGGGTCATAAGATCCCAGCAAGATAAGCATCCAGTTTCATCTTGAAGGTGTTCAATGAAGGCGCTTGAACCACCTCCGGTGGCAGGCTGTTCCAGACCTTGGGGGCTCGGACAGTAAAGAAACTCTTTCTTATGTCCAGCCTGAAACGATCTTGAAGTAGTTTGTGACCATTCGACCTCGTCATCCCTTGGGGCGCTCTGGTGAACAAACGTTCCCCCAGATGCTGGTGGTCACCCTTGATAAACTTGTAGGTGGCCATCAGATCACCCCTGAGCCTGCGCTTTTTCAGGCTAAAGAGCCCCAGGGCTCTCAGCCTGTCATCGTAGGGTCTGCTTCCCTGACCTCTGATCATGCGCGTGGCTCTTCTCTGGACTCTCTCAAGCTTCTCCACATCCTTTTTGAATTGTGGAGCCCAAAACTGGACACAGTACTCCAGCTGCGGCCTCACTAAGGCCGAGTACAGGGGGAGGATGACGTCCCGGGATTTGCTTGAGAAGCATCTATGGATGCAAGCCAGCACTTTGGTCGCTTTACTAGCCGCCGCATCGCATTGCAGGCTCATGTTCATCTTGTGGTCAATGATGACCCCCAAGTCTCTTTCTTCCATAGTGCTAGCCAACATAGCACTGC